TGAGAGGCATGGAGAGATTCTCTCTCACAGTCCTCAGAAGGAGGTAACCCTGCTGACACCTCGACCTTGGACTTCTAGCTCCCAGAACTGTGAAACAATAAATTTTTGTTGTTTAAGCTACCCAGTTGTTGGTACTTTGTTATGGCAGCCCTAGCAAACCAATATAGTCATGAAACTAGGCAAGCACTAAGAATAAAAACCATGTTGCAGTCTGTTTAGATGAAGCCTTTAAGTAAGGGCCAATACCTTCAGCTTTCCAAATGAGATTAATTTTACGCTTCATCTAACTTTGCTCTCATGTACAATTGGCCACCTAGAATCTGTTGTAACTTTTCACCCATACGGCAGGATCATTTTAATGACTCTCAGAGCCCCAGGGTAGGGCAGTCCTTGCTATTCTGGGTGGCCACGCCTCTTGAAATGATGGTGTTCACATGCTCCAAGAGTGAAAGGGCTCAAAAATATTCCTGGAGGATGAAGACACAGGACCAGAGAGGGGAAGGGGTTTTGAAGGGGGTTGGGGGATATAAAAGTGGAATGTTTGTGGAAGAAAAAGCCCAGACTTTCATGGAACTGAGACTGAGGGAAAATAACCCATCAAGACAAGTCTTTGTGGGAGCAGGTGAGGCAAAAGGAAGAAACTCTGAGGACAAGGCTCCCTCCCGGTGTTTGTTCCTTGAAGTGCATGAGCTGAGAGCTGCCTGTCATAGAGTTGCCATTTCTTCCACCCAGATCTTTCTCCTTCTTACTTTTATTAGACTTTAACCAGATAGTCACAGATCGTCTTATGAAATACATGAGATCTAATATTATAAAGCACAAAACAGGAAAAAAAGGCTCAAAATGAAATGAGCAAGATGTGCAGCCGTTCTGAGTCTCTGCAGGAAAGCTGCATGGGGCCGTCCCACATGTCTGCAAGTCTCCCCAGTCCCCTTGACCAGCCAGGATGGAGGTGAGGAGAGGCCAGTTCCTCCAATTCCCAGCTGAGTCATCCCATAGAGAAACTGGACCAGATAAGAAAGGACAGGTCTTGACTGCAAAATAAATGGGTGCACTTATAATAAAAAACTTCTTTGAGAGAGTTTGGTAGCAGTAACTGGAAGAAAACAGAGAGAATTTAAGAGAAAGCAATTTGTGAAAGAAGTCTGACTAGCTTGGGGGACTAGGCAAAGTTTCTAAGAAGCTGATCTGGTTCTCAGGAGCCTAACATGGAGTCTCCGGTACATAGTTACACACAAATAAAACACCTGAGGGGCTTAAGAGGTCACCCCAGGGACAGAACAGTAAAACAAACCAAAAGTAACCAATATCACCGCCATCAGTTGCCGCTGTCCCTCCCAGGCAGCTGGCATGAGGAGCACGGGTGTGATTCTAATCGCTCAGGTCAGTGAGCAAACACGTGGCCGCACTCTGTACCGGTCACGGGTGCCACCACACATGGTCCTGGGCCCTGCTTGTGGTGATCTAGGCAAGTGAGGTGTGTGATCACGAGGGCACGTGCTGCCCCTGCAAGGTTGTTTGTGAATAAGCAAGACTGCATTGTAAAATGGGGAAAAACTAGAACTCGGACAAAGCCACCGTCTCAGGTTGGTCGGATCAGACGCAGACGAATGACTTTTAGAGGAAAACGCATGCGTGAAGGTGAGCCTCAGCTTCTGATGGAATCAGCTCAGTAGCTTTCAATGATCTGGTTGTACAGAGGTGCATGAATGAAAGGGGGTGAGTTCAAATTCACAGACCATATCCAGAAGAGAAGGTCAGTGAGGAGAAACATCCTCCTCTGAACTACGGCAAGGCGAACAAAAGGCTAGGAAAGGAGAGAAGCCTGCCTGCCCTGAAGGGATCAGAGCAGCGGAGGAGGAAGCGGTTTCCTGAGGAAGCCCAGGTGATGCTTCCCGAAA